ATAAAAAGTACTATAAAGTCAGTATTCTTAATGCATGCATAAAACAATGCCTTACACATCTTACGTGGGACTTTTCTACACTTGCAGAGAGAAAGTACTATTTTTCCTATACAGAAAAGCTGTTATTTGCAGATCTACTCAACTGCTCTGAGTCATTGATGGTTACAGGCTTTATATTTAACTTGAAATGCAAAGCATTTTCTTCTAAGGCCTGAAGTTAAATCATTTTGCAAAGTGTATGTAGGTACATTCTGAGTTTTCTTTGTCTTGCTACCTATACTTGAAAAACAAGGCCTGACATTCGTAAGAGGGGTGTGTGTGTGCGTGTGTGTGTGTTTTAGTGGCCTCAGTTGCATTCTTTTTTCCCTCCACCTGTCGGGAGGGTACTTTTTATATATCTTTTCCAGTGTTTGCCGTTGTGAGTTTTGATCACAGCAGGAAAATTTTTTCACACAACTTTGATGAAAGGTCATACTTATTGGGATGACTTGTCCATTTTTTCTATCTAAAGTCTTAGAATATGCTGTACACATTACCTGGGGTAAATATATGTATAGCATTTAGGATTTTTGCATCTGTTCACAAGTAAAATTGGCTTGTAAGAATGCCTTTTGCTTTTTTGAGAACACTGCCCCAGTCAGGTTTTGGTTATTCTTGCTGAGTGAAATGAACTGGATGGCTTTTTATTACTCTGAAATAGTTTATGTAGGAAGCATCTGGTCCCTAAAAGTAGGAAAGAACTCTGGTAGAGAACTTCTTGAATGAAATGACAAGTGCTATGAATAAAAATGAAGTGAGATAAGAGGGCAGAGTGAATGGGCCTGCAGTTTCAGATGCGGTGGTTAGAAAAGTTCACTCAAAGAGGAGAAAGCACCATGAAGAGAGGGGGCAAGCCAGGCAGATGTCTGCAGGAAGAACATCTTGGGCAAAAGAAACAGAATGGCTAAAGCCATAGGAATGGAATAGGGTTGACATATTTGAGGAACAGCAAGAATGCTAGTGTATCTAGAGCAAGGGAGATGATGTAAGATATGAAATCTGAGTGGTAGTGAGGAGTCTGTGTATTTGGGGCCCTATAGGCAAAAGTCAATGAAAGTGAAGTTCTTTGTTCCGTTCATCTTAAATTTATTCTTTAATCATGTTTTTCTGTATTTGATTTGACTACTTATGTAAATTTTTATCCTTTTTCTGTTTTTTAATAAAGGTTTAAGAATATAAATTTCTTTTTAAGTACAGCTTTGCTTACATTCTCTAAGGTTCACGGTCATAAGTCATATGGCCATCTCTAAGCTACATAAGAGGCTGGGAAATGGAGGATTTTTAATGAGTACATCCTGGTCAAAATCAGGATTCTCTTAGTAAGGAATAATGGAAGAATAAATATTGGATAAACTACTAGCAATATTTTTCGTAAAATCCTATGTGCCTGGGAGATTTTCCTGTAGATTCTATGCTATGCAAATTGTTACCAAACATTGTGAGATGGAGGATACCCAACTTATTTTATGAAACCAGCCAGAAGCTTGTATCCAAACCTAACAAAGATGGCTGAAAGGAAAATTATAGACCAGTTTAACTTACGAATATAACTGAAAGCTCAAAATACAAATGTATCCGTTTTTCACCGTTAAAAGAATTGTCCATTGTGATTATGTAGGGTTCATCCTGTAAGTGCAAGAATGCCTTAATATTAGGAAACCTTTTTCTTTTTTTTTTTTTTAAAGATTTTATTTATCTATTAGAGAGAGAGAATGAGAGACAGAGAGCATGAGAGGGAGGAGGGTCAGAGGGAGAAGCAGACTCCCTGCCGAGCAGGGAGCCCGATGCGGGACTCGATCCTGGGACTCCAGGATCATGACCTGAGCTGAAGGCAGTCGCTTAACCAACTGAGCCACCCAGGCGCCCCAGGAAACCTTTTTCAACAATGCAACATATCAAAAGATCCAATAAGAAAAAATATGACAATCACAATAGATAAGAATTGACAAAAGGTAGCACTCATTTCTGATTAGAAAACTAGTCTTATATTAGACAACTAAAACTAGAAAGACATTTCTTGCAGTACATAAAGATATCTAACTTCCTCTTCTGGTCAAGTTTATTCCAGTTCAAAGGGCAAAGGTATATTCCATATATCTCTAGCCTTCTCAATTGGGGACTGCAAAATATATTTTTATGTATTATCTGAAATAGTATGGTAAAAAACCATCTTAATGTACTCCCAGTTACTTCTGGAAGTTTCTCAAGGTATTCTCTTATATGCACTGCAGAACACATTTCTCTCTCCTTCCTCAGCTCACATCTTTCCAACTTGCCACCAGATAGCTGCCAATAACTCTAATAGTTAGGCAGAATGTTGGGCAGACCTGTTTCTATGCTCAAGGAAAAATAGCACCCAAGGTTCCTTTTTTTGCTATTTGAATATAAAAATAAGGACAATTCTAATATTGCCTTTGAACTTTCAGAAATAAGTAGTTTTATAAAATAAAATTACTCCTTTGTGAAAGGCGTTAATATGAATTTACTCTAATAATAAGCTGAGAAAGGTTTAAAATTTGAAACCCCAGTAATAAATGTTTTATACCAGTATTTTTAAGCTTTTATTATTTATTTATTTTTTATTTTTTGCCGCAACCCACAACCCACATTAAGAAGGAGGGGGTAAAGGGGAACCCTCCTACACTGTTGGTGGGAATGCAAACTGATGCAGCCACTCTGGAAAACAGTATGGAGGTTCCTCAAAAAGTTGAAAATAGAGCTACCATATGATCCAGCAATTGCACTACTGGGTATTTACCCCAAAGATACAAATGTAGGGATCCGAAGGGGTACGTGCACCCTGATGTTTATAGCAGCAATGTCCACAATAGCCAAACTGGAAAGAGCCAAGATGTCCATTGACAGATGAATGGATAAAGAAGATGTGGTATATATATACAATGGAATATTATGCAGCCATCAAAAGGAATGAAATCTTGCCATTTGCAACAACGTGGATGGAACTGGAGGGTGTTATGCTGAGCGAAATAAGTCAATCAGAGAAAGACATGTATCATATGACCTCATTGATATGAGGAATTCTTAATCTCAGGAAACAAAATGAGGGTTGCTGGAGTGGTGGGGGGTGGGAGGGATGGGGTGGCTGGGTGATAGACATTGGGGAGGGTATGTGCTATGGTGAGCGCTATGAATTGTGCAAGACTGTTGAATCACAGATCTGTACCTCTGAAACAAATAATGCAATATATGTTAAGGAAAAAGAAAAAAGAAGAAGAAGATAGCAGGAGGGGAAGAATGAAGGGGGGAAATCGGAGGGGGAGATGAACCATGAGAGACGATGGACTCTGAAAAACAAACTGAGGGTTCTAGAGGGGAGGGGGGTGGGAGGATGGGTTAGCCTGGTGATGGGTATTAAAGAGGGCACGTTCTGCTAGGAGCACTGGGTGTTATACACAAACAATGAATCATGGAACACTACATCAAAAATTAATGATGTAATGTATGGTGATTAACATAACATAATAATTAAAAAAAACCCACCAAGAGTTCATAATGATAGCCCCAATTCTGGTCCAACATCACAGGATTGATTTCAGTCTTTGCCCTTCCCATATTTTAATTCACTTCTCTGGCAGTGAGAAACTTAGCTTTCATTATTCTCAATATATTTACTTATTTGTTCAACCCTAGAATATCCAGAAATTATTTTCAGAATGACTAACCTATATCATTTTGTAAAACAAACCAATTAACTACGGTTCAACATAGTCTTATAGATAGTTGGGCTGTACAGAATATTGTGTTCCAAGTTACTTGGTTCTTTTTCTTCCTCTAGGGTATGGTTATTTATTGGAAATATAGTTAGGTTTATTTGGTTATCTTTGTTACTAATTTTGGGTTCCCTTTACCCATTCTTACTGCTTTTTTTGGATATGTAAAATATTAGAACATGGTTCCAAAGGTGTAAGCTGTACAAAAGAAGTGTATGCAGAAAGGTACATACCATTTCTTTTTATCCCATTCCCACCATCCCTTGTGGGAAACCCACATCATTAGTTTCTTGTAAATTGTTGGAAACAATTAAGAAATTCATATGTATTTTATTACCCCTTCTTATAGAAAAGGTGACATGCCATGGATGTCTGGAAATCACTTTATATTAGTTCATAGAGGTCTTCCTCATTCTTTTTTAGAGTTGCATAGTATTTCATGATGTAGTTATATTAGTTTATTCAATTACTCTCATGTATGGACATATTGATTGTTCCCAGTATTTTTCAATTGCAAACATTGTTGTAATAAAGGAATATATGAATATAAAAAAAAAAGAAGGGGGGGTAGTGGATGGGTAAAACAGGTGAAGGGGGTTAAAACAAACTTCCAGTTACAAGTCACAGGGATGTAAAAAAATACAACACAGGAAATATAGTCAATAATATTGTAATAAATGGTGACAGATGAACTAGACTTATCATGGCGATAATTTTGTAATGTGTATAAATGTTGAATCATTATGTTGTGTATCTAAAGCTAATATGATGTTGTATGTCAATTATACTTCAATAAAAAATGCCTTATACTGTGACTGAGTACATACACATACACATTCTCCACCTATATAGCTTTATAATTAGAAGTTTCATAGAAGTTACCAAGGATCTATGCAAAATACTCATATTATCTTCTTAGAATTAAAAAAAATTGATGTCAGCCCACCAAATTGATTTCCTTAGACCATGCTTTTCAGCAATTTTATGGTTCTGAACAGAAATTATTCTTTCAATTGTTAAGTAAATAAAGTGTCTGGAGTTCAAGAATTAAATTTTGAAAGATTACAATCCATTGGTTTTTAGAAATATGTCCTAATTTTGCTGTAAATATTAACTTTTCATGCATAGGCAAGATGCCTTTGGTGCTAGTTGCTAGTTTTTCTCTGATTTATAGGAGTGTGATAGAATAAGAAAGAACTTTCTAAATTATGATTTCTTTTCTTTCTACAGCTCTCATGTGTGAATGTAAGTGTAGTGCATCATTCCTCTAAGGACCTCGCCAACTGGAAGTTACACTTTTCACCATCAGCATACCTTATCCCCTTTGGTCTGGTTCTTTTCCTCAAAGAGTAGAAACTTCTTTCAAGTTGCTTTTGTTGCAGAGTTAAGCAAATGGCCAATAGTGGCTTTGATAAAAAATCCACAAAATGTTCCAACTGTTCATCTACTTCTAAGAAAGGTGCATTTATTGTATGTGCCTGTAAAACAAGGCTTTCTCCAATTTCTGTGGTGGAAATGTCCCAAGCATCAAGCATTGGCAGCTCAGAATTTATGGTTTCACCAGAGAGGAAAAAAGAAAACCAAACCAGCATGGATAGTTCCTCTGGGAAAGATATGGTAAATATTGAAGATTCTCTATCCCAACATAAGTTGGAATCCCATTTCCTAATCCTATCCTCAGATTCATCGGTATCCCTTGGGCCCTTGTCAGCTAATTCACTGCCTTCTTAACTATTAAAAGAACATTCTATCTTATGTAAGAAGTGAACAAAATTGGTTAATAATTTCTTTTATGATATTTCCATCCACTGCCAAATTAGCTATTTGCCAGGATCATGAATAATTTGGAATGTTATTCCAGCTTCTTTATTTTTTAATGGCATATACAGAAATGAATTGGTTTTCAAGTTGGATTAAATCTGAATTTTGGGGCATTTTCTTCAACTGGTGCAGAATGGGATTTATGGTTGTAGTTAAATATAGGGTGATTATTATTTAAGACAATTCCTGGTTTTTGGATGGGATAGCCAATATACTTTGCAAAACCAGTTTACCTTAATTACAACCTATGACTACCTGGTCGGACTGGTTTGGGTGTATTCTACCTTTATAGAGAAGAGGCAAATGTGGAAGATTGTAGTTGATACAGCACAACTTTGGAGACAGAGAGCAGTAAGTTTAAGAAAAGTTGGGTTCCCAGTCCTCTGAGTTGCACCTTTTTCAAATTTTCACCTTAAACTGTTATTTTTTATTTGTATTATGGTATAGTTATTGCCATATAGACATCTCTGAGTGTCTTGTTACTATATTGTTTTCATTCAAAGGATATTTTGTGAATGTTTGGTCAATAATTTTTTATATATAACCTACTAGGGATGACTGTTATGTTTTGAAACAAGGGTGATTGAGAAAGCTCTGAAGTTGCCTTCTCTTGTGATTTTAAAGAATCAATAGGTAAGTTCTATTAGATTTGTGATGCAGGTTATCATGCGAACTTGCCTGGATTCAGGGGATTAGATTGAATGGCTGGTTTCTTGTGGTCCCTTTTAGTATAATGAGCCAATGAATCATATAGGGCTTAGAATTTGGAAAAGACAGTAAATATCATGGCACACATTAAAGATTTGTCAGATTATTGAAATTAGAGTTCTTATTTTGTCAAGATACAAGCACATTATATTTGTACTACAAGTATATTACATCTTAATTTTTTTTATTCCTTTTGGTGTAAGCCCTCAAAAACCTCAAACGTGGAGAGAAAAACATCTCAGCAACAGTGGAGTCGGGGCAACATTACAGAAGGAAAGGTTCCTCACATAAGGATGGACAATGGAGCTGCTATTCAGGTAATAGAAAGCAAAGTGAAACTGCTAGGAACATCTAAGTCAATGGTTAATGGCAAAAATGATTTAAAAATTAGTCTCTAAGGAAGGGAAGAAAAGAAGAAATTTATGGGTTTCAAGTATGTCAAAGTCTTTACAAAAGAAAATGCAGACTAATTATTTTTTCTGTTTATAGAGGACCAAATAGACTTTAATTAAAGCAGAGGGCATTTTTATTAGCAAAATGAGAACATTTTGGTCTTTAGGTCTTGCCCATTGCTGAGAGCAATCTTGGAGTCTTTGTGTAGACTTCTTCAAGACAGATGACTTGAGATGGTTTGGCTTTTCATTTCTTTGATGACTGGTAGTGAGGCCAGAATTTCCCTCATGGACCCCTCCATTTTTGATTGGATGGATACCAATATGGTACCAATTGACTCTTCCAAGGACTCTAATTATTATGGATTGAGTGTTATTACCCTTTTAGAAATTAAAATGTGTTCCTTTAACATCAGATTAAAAGAGCCACAACAAGAACAACTACAAGAAGAAAATTGCATTCATGTTAAATAACTTTAAAAAGTTGCTTCAAGAGATATTTGACAATTTACTTGAAGGGATCAGAAAAACTTCCTGAGTAATTCTAACTTTTTATAACTTTAAATAAAAGGCTGGATTTTTTTTTAATCCACAAATTTACTGAGTTTTAAATTTAGCAATAGAGCTTTTATAAAAATAAAATGTACTCAGCGTAAGATAGTAGGAAAATATAGATAGAAAAGTGAAAAAAAAAATCATGAGCCAGATAGAACCAGTTTTAACATTTATTACTTTTATTTTTTCTGTGCATGTATGTTATTTTATTTTTTCTTTTCAGTTTTTTTCTGTTTTAAATTATGAAATATTTCCAATATATACAGATTTTTAAGAAATAACCTTAACTAGCATAACTGAAGTTTTTTCCTCCCATTAAATGGACAGGCTCATTGTAAAGTTTTTAAACATTTCAGAAGAGTATAAAAAAGGAAGTTATAGTCATCCAAAATTCTACTATCCAGAGATAACTACTCTTAATATTTAGATGAGCATCTTTCCACATACCAGTGTCAGCACCCTCACATGCACACATTTTCATAATGGGATCATATCATATGTGCTTTCACACTCTACACTATATCATGGACTTCTATATCAATAAAAATAGATCTGCATTACCATTTTTATAGCATCCTCTTAAAATTATTACAAATAAGAAGTTATTTCCTCCTTATTTTCACCACGATGTAATGATGTCAAAGCAGTTAGTTGAAGAAAAAGATTAGTTTATAAAACTAGTTGGGCAGTTGGGCTATTTCTATATCCATTCCTCATTTAAAAAATCCTATATAAATGGTATTAAAATACTGTGTCCAAGTTGTGGTTCTGTATGTTTAAAGAGCAAATGGGAGTTTAGTTTTTAAAGGTCAAGGAAAATTGGGGAGATGGTTATAAAGTTTAGATCATTTTGTTCTGTGGAAAACAAAATGGATAAATGATCATTAAAATTAGGATTTTACTCATTTTTCATAATATGTTGTTGGGAGTTGGATATAAATATGATAAAAAATAAAGTGTTTTGTCTTCTTTTAGTCATCTTAGTTTTCTGACTTTGATTCTCACTATTAAGTGGCAATAGGAAGAAGGAGGAACCAAAGTAATTATAAATCATTGAAAGTAGTGCTTTGGGGACCATCCCTTGGGCAGGATGTACCCTGTGTGAGTCTAGGAGTTGCCATTCACAACACTCAAGACCATTAATCTAAAGCTCTTCCTCCAGGATTCAACTCCACGTAGCCAGTCTGTCACTTCTCTTGCAGGTGTATATATGTAGAGGGTTCCTGATTGGCTGGCTTGCTGACTGGATTTATTGATTGATTCATTCATTTACCAATTCACTCATTCATTCCATATTTGCACTGTTCCTTTGGAATGCCTTTCTTGCTTTGCTTGGATTATAGAAAAAAAGTTCTCAATTATTTGCCTTTGTTCCCTCACATGCCGATCTCAGAAGCTACTTCTTTGGTGATGTTTTCACCTATTTTCCCAGCATTTTAGCTGTGGTCTCTGGCCCCAATGTTGTTTTGTATTTTTTTTTAACTTAAGACTTTATGACTTAAGTGATAATCTTGTCTCTTGAGCAGATTACAAATTCTGAGAAAATAGGAGTTGTGTTTTATCCATTTTTGTACAAAATATATATCACAAGGAACTATCTAAGGAAATTCTAAGATGTTGAAGCTGAACATTTCTTCCTTCCTTCCTTCCTTCCTTCCTTCCTTCCTTCCTTCCTTCCTTCCTTCCACTTTCCCCTCTATGTGCCAAGCATGAATATTTTACCTACAAAGTTTCAGGGTAAGCTTTTTAAAGGAATCAAAAGGAAAAGCTTCTTAAGAAGTTTCCAGACCATCTTGGGAGAAAAACATGAACCAAAGTGTTTGTAAGAAGGAAAGTAATAATAGTGTTTGAGGACCAATGCATACGTGCTGAGGGAAGTCAAGATAATGGAACAATCACCATGGTGCAGAGTCAGTCAGGGAATCCCTCATGAAGCCGGTGAGTAATTAGTTGGGCATTGAATCTTTCCTTATGAAAGTAAGACAAGAATGTAAGCAGCAGCAAAAGATATGAAGACTAGCAGCTAATTTATCTGTTGTGTGGTAAAGGTGAAAGTGCTTGCTGAGAGAGAGTTGCATCTCCCGGAAAGGCTTTGGCTGCTAACCCAGCAGAGGCTTCACCTAGTGGCATTCCTTCAGCTCTTCTGTCCTGTTCTAATCCCCAGGCATGATGTGTCCAGAAACCCTGCTCTTATTAATGCTCTGATATTGATTTGGATAAAGGAGACTAACTCCCCCCAGCCCAACCAAATTCACAAGAAATCGAAGTATAAATGTGTTACTTGTTTGTTATTTTACAGTGTGAACCAGGGTGCTGGTGTTGGAAAAAACAGTGCGTTCTTTTTTTTTTTTTTTAAATAATATTAACTTTTATTGAGTGCTTATTATGTCAGGCACTATGCTTTTTTTTAAAAGTTGAAATGTAGTTGACATACAATGTTATATTAGTTCCAGTTGTACAACTTAGTGATTTGACAATTCTGCTCATTTCACTATGCTCATCATGATAAGTATAATTACCATCAGAAGTTAAATAATAAGTGGAAGGATTCTTGGTCTGGATAGTGTTACTAAGGATGGTTTTTATTTTCTTCCCAGTGCTGACTTATATTAAAATTTCTGTCAGATACTGCTTTTTCTAAAACAAAAGGAATAAAACAATAGAAGCAATTTTTGATAGAAAAAATGAAGATTAAGTGTTACTTGGTAAACAGAAAAGCAGGAAGTATTCAATGGTTAATATGTGTTGATTTTACAGTATAGCTCTCAGAATTTGGGGATAATTTCTTTGGTGAATGTATTTTATACACATAAACACACAGATATGTATGCATTAATATTTCATTCCTCCTTTTTCTTATGAAGACATTTCCTTAATATTGTAGGTTGTTTTTGTACTTTTGAGGTTTTCCATATTTCTCCATTAGGATTTTTATGGTTTTCCTCCAGAGGACATTTAATGAAATTTGTCAAAACTTATTTTTGGTTAATTAAGATGTTTTTATTAATATTGAAGCAAAGATGTGGTATCTTCTACTTGATTTTACCCTGGAGCAGAAACCCCCTTCCCTTGGGTGGATATCTGTCAGTATTATGTGTTCATTTTTAATACCTGATGAGTGGCAGAGAGAGACAAAGGAGCTCTTATTTTTCTATCCAGGAATTCTATACCTTTGGAAAAATACTGGGACAAGGGAGTTTTGGAATGGTCATTGAAGCCACAGACAAGGAAACAGAAACTAAGTGGGCGATTAAAAAAGTGAACAAAGACAAGGTAAGACTTCTCAGCAGCACCACACTGAGGACACAGGGCCAGGGCTGGGCGTGGGGGGTGGGGGGTGGGGGGTGGGGGGGGTGGGGGGATGGGCAGTATGGTGTCCACGCTGATAACGCAGCTGGCCCTGAGGGCAGGGCCGGGGCTGTTGCCCTGGGCAAGTGTGGTCCTTGCCCAGGCCTTCTGGGAAGGGACCAGTTCTTGAAGTCAAGTAGACAAGCGCTATCTGGGAAAAGCAAATGAAGCATCAACTAACATAACCAATATAACCAAGTGAGGGTAAAGTTTTCCAGAGTGAGTTGAAAGTTAGGGCTGATTCTCAGTCTGTAGTTGTAGGGCCGGGGGCTAGAGATTGCGTAGCCAGATTAAGTCTTGGCACTATCTCCGGATGTATGTGGTTCTGAACGACTTTTCTCCTATCCTTTCTTCTCCTTTGATTCCGTTTCCTCCTGTGATTATTTATCCCACCGGCTCTGATTTCTCCCGGAGTGGACAATGACTGGGCTTCTCTTTAAGGGAGATTCTCGTTTACATCTTGATCATTTCATTAACTTTAAAAAAAAAAACTTCTGTGCCTGGAAAAAACAAAAGACAAAATACAGTGTCTTTTTCTTGGGCTTTTGATGATAAATATTACATTTACAAAATGAAATAGTAAGTTTTATGTATTCTTTAAAACAAACTATAGTAAATTACATACCATTTCTTCCTAAAGTTTAATAAGGTAACATATACGTCTTAATAAAGGGAGATCTAGAGCCTTACTAGAAATCTTTAGAATTCTAGAATCATGGTGCTACATGGGATGTTATTTCCTTTGCCCCTTTGGTGTCAGGTAGGGTTAGGGGCTAGGTTTTAGGTTTACACAGCCAGGTACCTGCTTGCAACTTTAGGAATTCATCATCTTGCACACACGTATTGATGATAAGCATTTACAAACACCAGTGAAGTCAAATAAATTTATATAGTCAATATATGAATTGGATAATATATTACTTCATTATATGCAGGTCAAGCCATTTGGGAAGGGAGGTAGGAACAGAATTGAGACTGATATTAGGAGAAATTGTGGTAACTTTCCACATCTAGTCTAGATAAGAATTCACACCTCACAGTTACTTTTTCCCTTGACCTTCTAGGATAACCTTAAAATGTGACTTTCATCCTCCTTGGGCAGGGTATAGTGGGCAGGTGGTTTCCTACTCATTCCTGAGATAGTAACGTAGAAGGATAGAGGTCATTGGAAGCAGGGATGGCCCTAGGTAAAATGTTAACTAGGTAAAGTTTGCCCTGTGATCCATCCCTTTCCAGTCCTTTAGGAACTATTATGTATTCTCCAAACTTGCTGGGGGCATGGGGAGGGGAGAGGAGGGATAAGACCTCTATAATCCCTTTCTCCGATATTTTTATGTGGATGAGGGCAATGCTTTTCTTCAGATAAGGATGTTAATTTAGATATCAATGGGGTGACGATTGGGGTGGTGGTAGTGGTGCTGAGGGTAGAAAAAACCCTTCCAGAATTTCTTAGATGACTTTGTAGAAAATTAGTTGCACCCTGATTTGTGCTCCCTGGGGTGTGCCTGCCTTTACCTTTTGCCATCAGGTATGGTTAAGGGGTACATGTAAGGAGATAAAGCAGGAGTTAGATTGATCTGAAGGCAAGATCTTTCTCTCTCTCTCTCTCAGGTAATTTTGAAGCTAAGGGTATCAGGAAGTGATAATTGCAGGGCTAGGTGTAGAATCTCACTGCCTATTATTTCTTTTATACATAAATATACTTTATATGTAACTATATATAAATACAATCAAAACAAAACAATAACAAAGCAGAAGAAAAACATTTTGTTTTTATCTTCTCCAAATGATGTCCCTGGAAAGTAGATTTTGGTTTTATTATGCTAACATCAAAGGATGAACATGATTTTGAAGGAAATACTGAAAGGCATATTCAAAATTGGAATAATCTGTCAGGGGGACAGAGCCCATGTTGTAGTTAATTTATAGAAACAGTCCAAGAAACAGATGTGGCTTGAGGCCAAATTATATATAACTTAAAATTGGACAAAGGAAAGAAGGACCATAATTTAATCTTATCATGGAAATAAATTGCATGTTATCTTTTGAAAAAGGAACTTCTCCAAAAAATGTAGGGAAAAAATGTAAAAATAACAGGAACTTTTATATTGAGGTATGTAGGAGTGACATTCATATGTGAAATCTATGCGTCCTCATTATGAAAGGCTGGAAGCTCTGCTGTGAAGTTACTCGAACGGGAGGTGAACATCCTAAAAAGTGTGAAACATGAACACATCATACATCTGGAACAAGTGTTTGAGACGCCTAAGGTAAGGCTTGATCAGGTGATGCATTTCAAAGTGGTTATTATCACAAACGAACATCGTTGCCTTCTGAAGTCACCCCTGTAGGGCACGGTTGTTCAAGTCCTTGGCATGTGTCTGTCACTGGAGATTGATGAGGGCATTCTGGAGGGCTTTTATTATTGATTATATAATTAGGTGTCTGATGATTAGATTGATGTCTTTGGTGATATTTCTGGGTGGCTTGTTGCAAATAAATGCTTAGAATTGAAACAACTTCATGCACAACCAGATAGTGATTAGAGCTTCCTTAGAGATGGCTTTCCTTTTGCTTTGGTCTTTGGTTTCTCCATTAGGGTCTTTTGGAATATCGTCATCATTTTGCAAGGTTAGCTTTCCAATAAAGTTGGCATGGTTATATTTGGCACTGTGCAGAAGGTATTTTATCATCTGTGTTTTACCAATGCGTTTAATTGTCCTTCTTCCCTAGAAGTTATCATTCTTTTTAAATGCCTGTAATTTTCATTTTCAGTTGTTGTGAAGCCTGGGTTATTTGCCATTCTGCCTCCGGATTGTTTGGTGTCGGTGGGTTTGGGTGTTTCTCTGCTTGGAGGCAGTATAATATGTGGTTAGGCATGTGGACTCTGGCGTCAGATTGCCTGTGCATTTGAATCCTGGCTCTACCACTTATTAGCCATGAGATTATGATGTTGCTCAACCTCTCTATACTTCAGTTTCGTCATCTAAAAAATGGGTTTAATATTAGTATCAACCTCATTTGGTTGTTGAAGGATTAAATGGAAAAATGGATATAAAGATCTGTCTCTTTAATTGTTAGCTATTCTTCTTTGTTTCCTTTGTCAGTCTCTAAGGTAGAAATAATCAGTTTGATTCATTAGGAGTGCTTAATAACTATGAAAGACCAGTTAACCTTCATGGGAGCAGTGTATGGCAATGGTGCCGAAGTCTACTCAGTTCAGTCTTAGAGTTATTATTTTTTTAATTCCCAAATCTTCTTAGAATAGTGTTGCTCTTTATCCTCAGTTTTAAGCAACTTGATTTCATATACCTTGCTATAGTTTTCCTCATGTTTCTTATGCTTGGGGTTCATGGAGCCTCTTGGATCTGTGAGTTTATGGCTTTTCTCAAATTTAGAAAATCTTTGGCCATTATTTGTTCAAATACTTTCTCTGCCTTCTCCCACTGTGGGGACTCCCAAGTACCTGTGTTAGACTGCTTGGTATTGTCCACAGCTTGCTGATGCTCTATTCATTTTTATCAATATTTTTTCTCTCTTTGTTTCATTTAACAGAGTTTTCATCGCAATGTCTTCAGATTCAGTCATCTTTTTTCCTGTAACATCATGTGTGCTGTTTCTCTTTTCCAACAGAAATTTGATTTGATTCTTTTGTGTATCTTCCACCTTTTTATTCAACATGCTCAGTATTTACTCCTCCTTATTACATATAGTTATAATAGCTTTTAATGTTCTTTTCTACTAATTTATCATGTGTGTCATTTCTAGGTCAAGTTCGATTGATTTTTTTGTCCATTATGGGTTATATTTTCCTTCTTTTTTATATGCTTGTTAGGTTTTGATTGGACACTAGATATTTTTATATTCTTATAACTACTCTTAAGCTTTATTGTAGGACATAGTTATTTGGAAACAGTCTGATACTTCTGAAGCTTGCTTTAAGCCAGAGCAACCTTTGATCTAGGGCTATTTTTTTCTTACTAAAGAAGTAGGACCCTTTGAGAGTACTCTACTGATGTTCTGTGAATTATGAGATTTTCCACTCTGGCTAATGGGAATACAAGCTCTTTCTGGCCATGTGTATGCTCCAGTGATTATTCTCTCTGTTCCTCTTGCATGGTTCCTTATCCAGCTTCGGGTAGTTCCCTCATACACATGAACTGAGCAGTACTCTGCTGAAGACTTGAAGGGCAGCCTCTGCAAATCTCTGGAGCTTTCTCTACATACAGCTTTCTCCTTTTTGATACTCTGTCCTGTGAACTTAAGTTGTCTTGGCCTTTCTGGACTCCCAGCTCCCTTTCCTCAATTCATGGAGACTGAGGGGCTCTCTTTGTATTCCTTCTCACTGCCCCATGGCCTGGAAACTCTCTCTGGACAGTAAGCTGGAATGATCATGGGGCTTGCTCTGTGTTTGTCCTGTCTTTCAGGAATCATCGCCCTTTGTTGCCTGATGTCTAATGTCTGAAAATTGTTGTTTTATAGGTTTTGTCCATTTCTTAAGTTGTTTCAGGAGGGAGGGTCAGTCTGTTACTCCATCTTGGCACAAGTGGGAGTCCAAATCTAGAATAGTTTGAAGGCAAAGGAAATCATCATCTGCGACTGGTTTGCTGGTTTATTTATTTTAATGCACTGCTGGCCCTTGATTCACCAGATCAGATCTGCCTCCTCCCAACGCTAACTCACACAAATGCCTAGAACTTCTACTGAAGCTATCTTAAAGATGAATGGAAATTGTTACTTGATTAGGTAGGCCGTGGTATTAGTCAGAGTTTGTTATGGTTTCTTGTGAGTCTAACTGTTCTGATCTATGCAATTATTTCTAATAATTATAAAAAGACTTCTAAAAATGTTATTGATATAACTTTTATCAACTTACATATTTAAAATTAACATCAATTTATATTGTAAGCACTGCTAAAGTCACTTTTCTTTCCAAATAGTTCACTTACCATTTTATGTACCCATGATCCCTACAGTGCTACCAGTGGAAAAAATATGGCACAGTTCAAAAGCTTATTTATGTGTTAGACTTTGCACAATTCTTTAGTGACTTTTGAAATTCCAAAGCATCCTGAGGCTTAGTGAACCAGAATTTTGACTGTTAGAAGAAGGGGTGTTAATCTTCTGTTCCTGTTTTCATGCTTGCTGATTGAACACAGAAGTTGCATTAATAGTGGCAATAGAATAGAATCAGACCCCAAAATCTTAAAAAACATTTACAAAAATTTAGCAGCAGAGGATGGAATGGAGACATGGAGGGTAGTCTATGAAAGGTATGAAATAGGTATGAAAAAGGCTTGTATTTTAGTTGACTGTGAATCTTTTTGACTCAAGAAATGGCTTGACTTTGGGAAGACCTAAAGTGATCTTAATTTACATCAACAGAAACAGCAGATATGGAAGAGACATTTCATCCGTGGCTTTTTCCCATATATACCTAATTAGTTACTAAGTCCCACTGTTTCTTCCTCTTAGGCATTTTTCACGTATTTTTTTTCTTCCCCTTCTTGTGTACATCCTGTACCTCATATCTACCCTCCATAAATAGAGGTCAGCGTACTGTAGCGTGCGAGCCGAATCTGGCATGCTGCCTGTGTTTTTATGGCCCACAAGCTAAGTTTTTTAGATTTTTAAATGACTGAAAAAAATTTTTAAAGTAGTATTTGATGACACGTGAAATGTATATGGAACTAAAATTTCAGAGTACATATATAAAGTTTTGTTGTATTGTTTATAGGTGCTGTTACGCTGTAACAGCAGAGCTGAGTAGTTGCGAAAGAGATTGTATAACCTGCAAAGGCACAAATATTTACCATCTGTATCTGGTCTTTGGAGAAAAAGTTCACCAAGCCCTGCTGCCCATTACTGTTGGAGTGTTCATTTAGAAATGCAAAACTGATCATAGCACACGCCTTTCTCCCTGCTCCAGACACCAGCTTAAAAAACTTCACTGGCTCCTTACTGCATATGGGGAAAAAATCCAAACTCCTCTGCATGACATCCAAGAGTCTTTACAACCTGGCACCAACCTGTTTTTTTCCGGCCTCACCCCTCACCGCTCCACTCTTCTCTGCCCCACCAAACTCCTAATGCTGTTAACACGGAGATATTCGTTATTCTTTCAACAGCCAGTGCTGTGTCAGTCTTTGGAATCTTTGCGAATACTATGCGTTAAGCCCGTTCTTACCCACATCCTCTCCCCATAAATCCCGATTCAGTTTATCCAGACCCGCCTTTAATATCACCTCCTCAGGGAGCAGACTTTAAGCAGAGGCTTCTTTCCTTGGTAACCTCATGCCGTTTTGGCTATACCCCTTCTGTTGGCACTCACCACACGATATTGTATTTATAACTCTACTGTGAGCTCCTTGAGGGTAAGAACGATGCCTTATACCTCCTTGTTCCTCTAGTATCCTGCACAGTGTCTTGTACATGATAGGAAATAAATAATTTTGAATAAGTACGTTGATGATTTAGGTTGGGATCATATTTCTATGATACATGTGCAATATATAATATTTTTAAAATCCTCAACTATATAATTTTCTCTCTCTCTCTCTTTATAAATCTATAATGTCAGAAAATGTACCTGGTGATGGAGCTTTGTGAGGATGGAGAACTCAAAGAAATTCTGGATAGGAAAGGGCATTTCTCTGAGAATGAGACAAGGTGGATTATTCAAAGTCTCGCATCTGCTATAGCCTATCTTCACAATAAGGGTAAGAAGAGAGTCATCCAGCTCATTGACTCCATGAATGCAGATGGTGCTTTTGTTTAAGGGTGATTGCATTCAGGGTTCAGAGTCACAGAAGTGATCCCTACTAAAATAGAAGATTTCATCTGAAAATTTTTCTGAATTTTTTCTTTTTAAGACTTTAATTAAATATAATAAGTATATTTTAATTAGAAACAAGGCAGGTATACAATTGCATTGTACACAGACAAGGATGAATATTTCTATTCAACAGTTTGAAAAGCAGCTAATCTTGTCAAATCAAAAGTAGGCTAAGTCAATAATAAAAGTGAAATTTCAAAACACTTATATTGTATGGAAGTGTTGAATCACTAGATTGTACGCCTGAGACTAATATTATACTGTACATTAACTGATTGGAATTTAAATAAAACTAAAAAAAATCTGTATATTCTAGGCATTTTTTTTTAGAGTTAATTTTTAGAGCAGTTTTAGATTTGCAGCAAAATTGAGCAGCCATTACAGAGATATCCCATATACCCTTATATACCCATATACCCATATACCCTGTACACGCACAGCCTCGGCCTGTTATCAACATCCCCACCAGAAGGTACATGTGTTACAAGCCATGAGCCTACACTGACACATTGTTATCACCCAAAGTCCATAGTTCACATTAGGGTTTACTCTTGGTGGTGTATATTCTATGGGTTTTGACAAATGGATAGTGACTTGTATCTACCATTATGGTATCATACAGAATAGTTTCACTACCTTAAAAGCCACATTTAGAAATTATTCTAATTTCTTTACTGTTTTTGGTTGTTATTGCTGCTGCTTTTCCTCAGGCTCCTTTTTTTCCTTCAAGTTTAGTTTATCTTACATGTGACTTTAGCACCTTCTCATTTTACACGTGAGGAAAAGTTGGTTCCAGAGAGGTGAAATGACAAGGTGAGGTGTGGCAGAGCTGGACTAGAACCCAGCGGCCATCCCACAGACATTTCCCAAGCCCCGCCTGCATGTGGTCTGTGCTAGAATTAGAAAGATACAAAGACAAGGCCCCCACACCTCAAGGAATTCAGGATGGTGGGATATGGAGGATAGAAAGCAAACTAATTCAGTGTGATAATTTCTCTAATGGAGAGTCATAGAAAGCACAAGGAACATTAGGAGCATCAGTGCCTTGTTTGATTTGGAAAGTCAGGGAGGGATTCACAGAGGAAAACAGAATTGGGGCTGAGGAATACAGTCTCAGACAAAAAGAAGGGAGGGCCTTCCAGGCAGGGGCAGCAATTTTTGCAAAGACAGGAAACCCAGGGCCTCCTATGATGCTAATGTCAATTCTCCCACATTAAGCTATAAATTCAGTATAATGCCAACCAAAATTTCAGCAGGATTTTTTCATGGAACTTGTTAGAAATATTCTGAAGTGGGCGAGAATAGCAAAGAAAACAATGAAAAAGAAGAACAATGGAGGCAGAAGGGAGACTTGCTGTGCTGTACTTACGTAAGAAGAGGTCAGCAGCACACATTCCACAAACACATTCTGGGAGCTGTGTTAGGGAACTGTAAATGGTTGGCTAGGGTCGCCAGTCCAGGGCTCCTCAGCTGCATTTTTCCAGCAGCGATACATGTAACTTTTTATGTGGAGGGAAATGATTGCTATGGATATGAGCTGAGTTAGTTATTTGCAACAGAAGTGCTTGGTGCATGATTATTTGCAAGCGCATAAAAATCCTACCTGATGTCTGTCATGTTCAACTGGAGATTTTGTGTCCCAGGGTTTCCATTTGTTTGTTTTCATTTTAACATATAAAGACTAGGAAAGTATGTGCTCATGTTATAGAAAAATACATTGAAATAAGTATAATGTGTATACACATAGTCAAGTTGCAGTATGTTAAATGTGTAGATTGACAACATACGCATGGAAATAAGTAAGTAATTCTCTATTTGAAGACCTAAGGATATAGGAAACCTTACTGGGTTTGTAACTACTTTTGTCTCCCTCTGCCTGGAATGCTTGACCTTGGGCAGGATCCACCTCCCCGCTCACCAGGCCACTGGTCACAAAGAGAAGCCTCCAGGGCAGCAGGGGGATGGGGAAAGAGGAGGGAGTCAAAGAAAATGCCTCCTTAAGGATAAACCTGTGAAGAAAAGGGATTGGAATATAAGGGAAGGAACAGGGCAGAATTAAGCTTGACCCTCCTTGAAGTTTTTAACAGTGGGACATTAATTTGTCAAATATATTTATTTGTTCTATTTGTGTCCCCTCTATTTTTCCATTATGCACTATTCATTTGATTTGTTGTTTATTTTCTTGGTAGATATAGTACATAGAGATCTAAAACTGGAAAACATAATGGTTAAAAGCAGCTTTATTGATGATAACAATGAAATGAACTTAAACATAAAGGTAAGGTATTAGAAATCATGGTAAATATTTGCCTATAAACAATTTGATAGCAAAGTAGCAAAGTACGTCCTCTTTTTAGATACATTTTGGAAGTTTTTGAGCAGCAAAATAAGTGGCTTGTGCTAGAAAAAAAATAAAATTTTACATAAGAGGTTGTAACTGACAAGAATAATTTTACAAGTTAAATGGTGCTACTGAATCTTTTTTAAAGTACATATTCATTTGGATAGTTCTAAATCATTAGTTAATAGCAAGCAAACAGATGCTCTGAATTCTAATTAATTTCAAAATTATGCCTGGTAATTTGATGTAAATGTGTTACAGATTTAGAAAAAAAACACACCTTGGCTGTGCCTTTGATATTAAATTAATGCTAAAGTCTGTATTTCTCATTGAAAATTTTCCTGGGTATTAATATTTATGTCCTAAACACAGTTAATGTGCCAAGTGTTTATTCTTCAAGACTTTACTCAAGTTAAGTGTTCCTTAATGTCAAATAAATGATAGGATACATTATTTATTACTTAGCACTTTAATAGCGGCTGCTTTCAAAATATATGAATGTGTTAATTTAGGAATAAAATGTTGTCTGTGAATAACTCACTCTGTTGTAGAAGCTAAATCCCTATGTAATATAAGCGGGTTTAACAGCATTGTTGTTTTACCAAAGTAAATAAATATTCTTGAATATTTTCATTTTAAACTCTATGAGGGCAGGAATTATGTATGTTTTATTCACTGTTGGTACCTGGAGTAATGCCTGAAAACATAGTATGTGCTCACTTAATATTTGGTAAATGAAGGAATAATTGCTCTCTAAAGAACTGAATTGATCATGAAACCTTTTATATATTTGATATCTGTGTAGATTTTCTGTGGAGAAGGATACGTATTATAATGCTCAAAGTGGGGTAATTGTGAAAACTCCTGGAGAAATTGACTTTTCTATTTAGAAAAATAGTGGTATCACATATTGATAGGAACATTTTCTTATTCCAGAAGGCCCTGGAAACTTTTCATTCAGTGTCTGTGGACCAAGAGCCTATCTTTGGTTGTATGATCAATAAATGTGCCTGTTTTTCTGCTTTCAGCCCAAGGCTGTTCCAACTTGGGAGACAAGACCAAGGGCACATACTGAATATTTAATAACCGAATGTGTACTGGCCCCGATTTGGAACTGAGCAGAAAGAGTGCAGTTGCAGCAGCAGGCCTCCAGTGGATTTGTAGCTCTACGGTTACTTTTTGACCTGTTAATTTGCTTCTTGTAGTTTTTAATAGTGTAGTAATTGTTTTAATTAGTAAACTCTAGAAACACAAAGGAAGTCATAGTAAAGAAAAGATGGTACTTATCAGAGATAGTGTCTTATAAATAATTATAAAAAGGGGCAGTTTCTGTGAATTCTGACAAGGATAATGATTGCATTTATAAAAGTGCTTTAAACTGGAACATAGCTTGAGTGTCATAAAAAATAGACGATAAACATACTATGGCCAGAATGTATTTTACGATGAAAGAGGTTTTTAAAAATAGCTTTTTTATCTGAAAAAGTTAAATGCTTTCTTTCAAAATATAACTTCCTATGTTGAACTGGTAAGTTTAATTAGAAGGAATGAGCAATCAGTATCATGGGTGTTTGCTCCAGGTAGGAGAAACCAAGCTTCTCTTTACCATAGATTTGTTTCTTCTTCACAAAGAGGGGTGGATGGGAAGCCAAAGCAAGGTCCTTAGTAGTAAGACAAGGAAAGCCCCTCCATCCGCAGGAATCTCTGAATTAAATACAGAGCAATTACAATGTGGTGGAACTCCTGCCTTCAGAATGAGTAAACTCTGGGACAGGAAAATAGGTGGCTGGGTTTTTTCTTCCAGGTGACTGATTTTGGCTTAGCAGTGAAGAAGCATGGAAGGAGTGAAGCCATGCTGCAGACCACATGTGGGACTCCTATCTATATGGGTAAGTTAGTAGATTTAAAATGATCTTTCTATATAAAGAGGTAGAACCACTAATGTAAATTAAAACTTGAACGACTTGAAAGAACTCCTAAAACTCAATACCAAAAAAAAACCCGATTAAAAAAATGGGCAGATGACATGAACAGACATTTCTCCAAAGAAGACACATAGATGACCACCAGACACATGAAAAGATGGTCAACATCACTCAACATCAGAGAAATGCAAATCAAAACCACAAGGAGATAACACCTTACTCCTGTCAGAGTGGCTAAAATCAACAACACAAGAAACAACAAATGTTGGCAAGAATGAGGAGAAAAGGAACCCTCGTGCACTGTTGGAGGGAATGTAAATTGGCGCAACCATGATGGAAAACAGTGTGGTGGTTCCTCAAAAAGTTAAAAATAGGAATGCCATATGATACAATAATTCCACTTCTGAGTATTTATCTGAAGAAAATGAAGACACTAATTTGGAAAGATATGTGTACCTCCATGTTCATTGCAGCATTATTTACAGTAGCCAAGATATGGAAACAACCTAAGTGTCCATCAATAGAGGAATGGATAAAGAAGATGTGGTATGTATGGGTGTGTGTTATTATTCAGCCATAAGAAAGAATGAAATCTTGCCTTTTGCAACAACACAGATGGACCTAGAGGGTATTATGCTAAGTTAAATAAACAAGACAGAGAGAAGAAAATACCATATGACTTCACTTAAATGTGGAATCTAAAAAAATAAATGAACAAACAAAATAAAACAGAAACAGACACTTGTAGATACAGAGAACAAACTGGTAGTTTAGGGGTGGATGGGCAAAATAAGTAAAGGGGATTAAGAGGTATAATCTTCCAATTATAAAATAAATAAGTCATGGGGATGTAAAGTATAGCATAGGGAATATAGTCAATAATATTGTAATAATTTTGTATTAGAAGGAATGAGCAATCAGTATCATGGGTGTTTGCTCCAGGTAGGAGAAACCAAGCTTCTCTTTACCACAGATTTGTTTCTTCTTCACAAAGAGGGGTGGATGGGAAGCCAAAGCAAGGTCCTTAGTAGTAAGACAAGGAAAGCCCCTCCATCCGCAGGAATCTCTGAATTAAATACAGAGCAATTACAGTGTGGTGGAACTCCTGCCTTCAGAATGAGTAAACTCTGGGACAGGAAAATAGGTGGCTGGATTTTTTCTTCCAGGTGACTGATTTTGGCTTAGCCAAAACTAGACTTTTCATGGTGATCATTTAGTAATGTACATAAATGTCAAATCACTATGTCATATACCTGAAACTAATATAATGTTGTACGTCAACTACAATTAAAAAAAAAAAAAAAAAACAGAAAAAAAACCCTCAAGCAATTTGATTTTGCCACAATATGACTTACTGGCCCTGATCAAGCTACTTTTTCTTTTCTTAGGTCAAATAATTTCATTGTTTTAGCATTTTTCTCACAGTTTATCTTTAAAGATTGTAGTTTTTATTGGTTTTTTGGACTCTTCTTATAGTTGTTTATACCTCTTAGGTAATCATACCCCAAACTTAATTATTGGTTTTGTTAACTCATGCTGAAATCATGTGTGTGTTTTACTTCTTTCCAATTCTTATCCAATTTTATTACCATCAAATGGTACATCCTAAAGCTACTGATTAAATATATTTTGTAAAGCAACCGTTTATCATTTTTCTAAGTGCGACTTTTAACAGCTTTACCGAAGTACAATTTAAATGCCGTAAAAAATGTACTATTCAGTGATTTTTCTAAATTCACAGAGTTGTGCAGCCATCACCACATTTCAGTTTTAGAATAATTCTACCCCAGAAGGTTGCCTCATGCCCATTTGTCCTTCATCTCATTCCCATCCCAATCCCCAGGTAACCACGAATCTATATTTACCTTTCCTGTACATTTCATCTAAAGGAAGTCATACCATAAGTTGTCTTTTATGTTGGCCTTCTTTCACTTAGTGTAATGTTTTTGAAGTATCTTCCTCTTGTACCTGTAGTCTATCCCTTTATATTTCTGAACAGTTCTCTGTTGTATGGCGATGCCACATTTTGTTTATTGTTTCCAGTCTGGGGCTATTATGGATAATGCTGCTATGAACATTTGTGTACAAAATTTAACATGGACATGTTTTCCTTGGGTAGCTACCTAGAAGTGAAGTTGCTGGGTCGTAAATTATAAAAAAAGATTTTATTTATTTATTAGAGAGAGCACAGGTTGGGGGAGGGAGAGGCAGAGTGAGAAGCAGGCAGAGGGAGAAGCAGGCTCCCCGTTCAGCAGGGAGCCCGATGCAGGGCTCAATCCCAGGACTCTGAGTCATGACCTGAGTTGAAGGCAGACGCTTAACCGACTGAGCCACCCAGGCACCTGCCCCTTTATGTTTGACTTTTTAAGAAACTGCCAAATGTTTTTTTCAAAGTGGCAGTAGCATTTGACCTTTTTACTAGCAATGTATGAGGGTTCCAGTTTCGTTGTATCCTTGTTGACTCTTTTTTTTTTTTTAAAGATTTTATTTATTTGACAGAGAGAGACACAGCAAAAGAGGGAATACAAGCAGGGGGAGTGGGAGATGGAGAAACAGGCTTCCCACAGAGCAGGGAGCCCAATGCGGGGCTCAATCCCAGGACCCTGGGATCATGACCTGAGCCAAAGGCAGACGCTTAACAACTGAGCCACCAAGGCACCCCTCCTTGTTGACTTGTGATAATTACCTTTCTTTCTAATTATAGCCACTGTAAAGGGTGTGAAGTAGTAGCTTATTGTGGTTTTTAATTTGGTAATTTAATTTTCCTAATGACCAATGATGTTGAGCATCTTTTCATGCAGTTATTAGTCGTTCATAATCTTCTTTGATGAAATGTCTATTCAAATCTGTACCTATGAGATGATTATATTTTTCTCTTTAAATTTATTAGTGAAATAATTGCATTAATAGGTTTTGAAAATGTTGAACCATCCTTGCACTTTTAGATTAAACTCCACTTGGCTTAATAAACTGCTTTATTCAGTTTGTCACCACTTTATTTAGGACTTTGAGTGTAGCTTTCTTTCTTTTGTGCTGCCCTTGTCTTTTTTGATGTTAGTGTTACTCTAGCCTCATTTAAAAAATAGCATGCTCATGAATCACTTAAGTAACAGAAACTATCTGTTATATTAATAAATTATTAGTTTGATGAAATTTCCCCTTAAAATTTTTTTGGCCCTGGTACCTTTTGGTAGATTAAGTTTCTATTATATTTTCAATTTATACTGGGTTATTCAAGTTTTCCACACCTTTTTGAATCATTTTGATAATTTATGTTTTTCTAGAAAATTGTTCATTACATTGAGATTTTAAGTTTTATGACATAAATATGCATATATTATAACTTTGTGATTCTCCTATGTATCTGTGACTATCACCCTAATTATTCCTAATATTTTTTAAGACAGTCATGTGATGTAAGATAAGCAATATGGCCTGTGACATCACCTGGCTAACTCAGGATTCCAGCTCTGTCACTTAGTCTGGTGAGCCCTTGGCAAACAACTTAACTGCTTTTGTTGTGGTTCTACATCTGTACGATGGGGATTATGTCATCCATTTATCAAAAAATTTTTGAGGGTCTACTTTGTGTCAGGACTGGCCTGGGTATTGGGAATATAACAGTGAACAAAGTATAAAAATGTCATGTTGGTGCAAACATTAAACAAAGTAAAAAAGTAAAATGTCTGCTATTACCTGGGATGTTAGAGAGAAGTGCTAAGGAAGAAAAATAAAACAGGGAAGGGGAGAGGATATACTTAGGATGGTAATAATAAGATCTTTCTTACCAGGTTGACATGAGAATTAAATGAGAAAATATATGTAAAGAGCTTAGCACAATACCTGAGAGTGCTCAATTTAAGCTCTTGTAATAATAATAATCATTTTTTTCTTGATCAAATTTTTTAGTGGTTAGGACAATTTATTGGGCTTTCAAAGAACCAATTCAAGTCTAATATTATTTGGTTGACTTTTTTATTAATTTCTGCTTTTATTTTTCTGGATTCCTTCTATTTTCTTTTGGTTTATTTTTTAACTTCCATAAGTTAAATGGTTATTTATGTTCAGTCTGTGTATTTCTTTCTTCACTCTGAGTATTTCTTTGACCATTTCTTTTGCTAGACAGTGTTCTTTTTAACTATTATTCACTTCTTAATAGTCTATCATTTTAGTCTTCTTTAATCTAAGAATTATTTAGAAGTGCTTTTAGAATTTTCCAGGTTGTTAGGATGTATTTGATTTTCATGTGAATACGTGTTAGTTTTCCTAGCCTTTTGGTTTTTCTTTCTGGTGTTCTTCATTGTTCTAGGCAATTGTGACTTAAAGGTCTTCAACTTCTAAAATTGTTTTTTGTGATTGAACACATGGTTGGTTTTTGCAAATGTTGCATTGGATATTGTTGACCACAAAAATTTCTCTGTGTGTGTATTTATAAAATCAAATGTGATACCTTTGTGATTTAAACTTTCCATATTAATTTTGTTTGCTTCTGTTGATTTCTAAGACAGAGATTTATTAAAGTCATCCACCAAGACAGGGCTTTGACAAATCTTTTTCTACCTTTTGTAGATTTCTTTAGAAAAATATCTTACTTTATTGAAGTATAATTTGCATACAATAAAATGCACAAATTTTAAGTGTACAAAGTTTGATGACTTTTGACAAATGCATATGCTTATGTAATCACCACCTCAATGAAGGTATAGAACATCTCTATCACCCCAGAAAATTCCTTTGTGTTCCTCTCTGTTAGTCTCCCACCCAGACCGCAGGAACCATTGATGATTTTTATCACCAAAACTTAATTTTGCTTGTCTAGAACTTTATTTAAATTGAACCAGACAGCGTACATTCTTGTGTCTGTCTTCATCTGTTCCATGTCATGATTTTGAGACTTACCCATGTCGTATCAGTAGTTTATTCATTTTATTGCCGAGGAGTATACCTAGTTCTGTATTTGTTTTTTTGTTTTTTGGGTTTGTTTTTTTTTTTTGCCTCCTTGACGTATTAAGTTTTGAAACTGTTTTATCTTGTTTGGGAAAAGGCTACTTTAGATTCTGTTCATATCCTCCTGTTGGCAAAAGACATCTGGTCTGTAGTTACATGGGGAAAATATATCCAAGCACCCTGAGTTTTATGCCTGCTTATTAGCTGTCTACACTGATAACAAGTGAGAGAACAAGAGAGAAGACAGATGGTTTGTGGAGCTTTGCTGACTTCCTAAATGGCTCCTTGGCACTGTTACTGTGGCCTCCGCCTTCCTGTGAGAGCTGTGATGGCAGCGCACGTGGAAACACCCCCGTCGTTAAGACGGCTCTGAGGGACCCAGGCCGCCATCCCGGCCCCCGCTGTGCAGGGCACCCAGTGTGGACGCTAGTCACAGACTTGCCCTTGTCAGTGACTCACTGTTCAAGAGCCACTTGACCTTTAGGGATTCAGTATTTAAAGAGTGTAAGTAGAGGTAAGGAATAATAGTTGCTTAGAGGAAAATAAATGCTAAGTAATTTTCAATGATATGGAAATGAATAACTCAGTTTTGTTAATTATCTATTGTTGAGCCTTTGCTCATTGTTTCTTCTCTTTCCTTTTTGTTTCCTTTTGGTTGATTTTTAGTTCCTTTGACAAGAGGCAGAGGAAGTGAAATGCTGTTTGCTTTTAGTAGTTATAGAAGGTGTGTGTGAGTGTGTGTGAATGTGTGTGTGAGTGTGTGTGTGTGTGTGTGTAGGGCAGGAGAATGAAACTTTTCTAAAATAAAACCACCTTTTATGTGGGAGGCACTCTGTAGCTGTGTAACTTGAGGCAAGTCACTTCATACACCGGAACCTTAGTCTCCTCACTGGCAAAGTGAGCCGAATGTCTACATACCCATCTCGCAAGATTCTTCACATGATTTACACAAATAACATAATTTATAAAAAAGTGCTTTGTAAACATTAAAGTTCTATTGAAATATATACATCTATATTTCATTTTTATGTTTACATCTGTTTTATTCTTTCTTTTTCCTTAAAGAAAGATATTTGACCCCTAGCCATAAAGGCACAATAGACTATTCCTGAAATACCATATGTGACATTTTAAAAGCCACTTAACAAGCCAGCCATTATAATCTAATCATTAAAATGTGCTACCTTAAAGTAAAACAAAACAAAACAAAACAAAAAACTACACACACAGACACACACAACTACTGTGAGAAGATTGTTTAAAGGAACCCTATTGTGAACACATTGTAAAGTATGGAGCACAGAGTTGGGGAGTCAGGAGTACCCGGATCCTAGTCCTAGTTGGCTTTTTTATCCAGTTATGTTGTAGGAGCTCTCTCTTTGTCTTAGTTTTCTCATTTAGAAAATGCGGAAAATAATTCATATTCTGTCATAGGAGTGATGTTATTATTATTATTATTTTACTAAAATGATTTATAACCATTTATCTTAGTTTCTCTGTGAATCCAGATTTCCACATATTGGGCTTGCTTTAAATTATATCCACTTAAGGCATGTATTCAATTCTATTTTGGGAAAAGAACTGAGATATTGTTGTCTTCTACTATAACTACACAATCTTTGCAAAATCATTTCTTAACAATTTCAAAGGAATGGAGAGCAGTACATTTAGTTACACAGTTTATGCCATTGTTCCATTAGAAGCTAAATGACAGGAGTGAGGGTACAGTGACATCAATTGTTCAGGCCTGTACATTATTCATTTAACATCTGCTGTTGGTTCTCTTTTTCCCTGTGGGGGAATAAATTACAACACATCAGCACAGTTTTCATGCTTTGTGTTTAAGCATTTAAACTTCATTTATTGTATTATTAATATTATTTCATTTCTGCTTATTTGGCAGCCCCTGAAGTTATCAATGCCCACGACTATAGCCAGCAGTGTGACATTTGGAGCATAGGTGTCATAATGTACCTTCTGTAAGTAGCCTGCTAAATGTGCAGTTTAAAATGAATTGGTAGTCTCTAACAGCAGACTAGAATTACAGAGATTTTAAATGAAAACTCGGCAATATAGTTTTTAAAAAGTGACTGAAAAAACAATTGGGAAGCCATTCTAAAAGCTCTCTTATTAGTTGTCAGTGACATCCATTAGATAGTTTTTTAATACTATAAATTTATAACATACAGGTTTGCTTTTCATGGACCTATAAATGCTACAATACCTGAGCCAAGTGAAAAACTTGCTTAACACCTCTCTGATCTTTTGTTACAGACCAGAAAGTTTCTTTGTACTTTCTCCAGAGATTCAGTTATAGCCCATCGGATAGAGAGAGGTACTGGGGCCTGGCACTTAGCTGCCCTATGGACCTGGCATATGTGAGAAGTGAACACTAACTAGACAGGAGTTCAGCCCAGGATCTGGGGACTATTCTATAGTTTCCAATCCTCTTACTGCTACTGAAAACATCGCTGTTTCTGGCTCTTCCTTCTGTCTCACTCTCAAGATTCCATCAAACCCCACGTCCTGTTCATTTTTCCTTTGCAGTGTCCTCACCTCTTCCTTCATTTCTCTTCACTTGTATTATTTCTCCTCACTTGTATCATTTCTCCTGATGACCCATCTTCTAGAATATTACAATGTCTGTCTGACTGTTCTCCCTGCCTCCGTTCTCCTTCCCCAGTTCATCCTTCACATTGCTGTCAGGATTATCTTTCTAAATCACCATCTGATTGTACTACCTTTCTGATTCCCAACTTCTGATAATTCTGCCTTGTTATAGAAGAATGTCAGAGCCTCCCAGCATGGCATGACGGCAAGTCTCCCATGACCTGGCTCCAGCATGCCTCTCCAGTCTCGGGCTAGCTGTGTATCCCATGCACCTGCTCTATGTGCAGCAACTCTAGACCATTCTTCATGATTCGCATACCCTGTATCACATGTCTCTGAGTCTTTGCTCATGCAGTTCCTTCCACTTACAATTGTTTTTACTTCTCTACTAACCTTTCTCCTGGGCCCTCCAGCTCAAACATTAACACCTTCTGTTTCCCTAACTCCTATCTACCCCAGCAGAGTTACTGCACTCATTATGTATATACATTCCCACACTCCACAGAGGATTTAAAGCAACATGCAAAAAATGCATGCAAAACAATAACACTGAAAGAAAAACAATAATATTTCACCAGGAAAGTTTGCACATGTGTGAATTGGACAGACTTGTTCACTTTCCTATGTTTTTATAGCACTTTTAAAAATTAGATTATACTATTGTAATATAATTATTAGATTATGTATATTTTTTCTCTGTTTTTGTTTTCCTTGGTCTAAATTCCATGAAGGACAGAGATCTTATGTTATTCATCTTTGCATCCCTCATATCTGGTACAATAGTAGGCATGTAGTCAGTGCTCAGCATATGTTTGTTAAATTGAATTAAAGCAAATTGTCTAAGAGGTGTTCTGAAAAGTTAGTGGCCATTGTTCTGCCTTGTGGTGAGTATGAACATTTTTACACGGACGCAACATTAGTTTTATGGTCATATTGAAGATTTCACTGTGCACTACCTCTTCCAGATCATTTCTAAATATTGACATCAGAGTAGTTACATTTTCACAGTGCTGTGAAATGGAATACACAGGCAGTAGAAATTGGAAGATGTGATTGTAGCTGTAACTCAGATGGTCAACACACATCACTGCTTAGATTGCATAAAGTATAAACGTATTCACAAAGTTTTTGATCACTGTCTTGTGCTAATTAGAATCATACCGTAAAAATTCTGAGCCTTAGTTTTTAATTAAAAATATCACTATTTTGGGCGCCTGGGTGGCTCAGTCGGTTAAGCGACTGCCTTCAGCTCAGGTCATGATCCTGGAGTCCCGGGATCGAGTCCCACATCGGGCTCCCTGCTCCGCAGGGAGTCTGCTTCTCCCTCTGACCCTCCCCACTCTCATGCTCTCTCTATCTCATTCTCTCTCTCAAATAAATAAATAAAATCTTTAAAAAAAAATCACTATTTTAATTTAGTGTTTTATACTTGTAAGAATTTCCAGACAAGTCAAACATAATATATGTAATCTATTATTACACAATTCATGGGGTGTTTGCTGCTGCTTAGTTTGAATTTGTTGTTAAAGAAAGTGATAGTGTAGTACACACCTAAAATTTTTTCTCCTTCTTAAAGATATAATTTTAATTTTTCTGCTTCAGAGCACGGCTGCATATCATCATAATGACATCTTTTTTTCCTTTACGGTAAACTCTTACTTAGCTAATCAGTGCCTATTCATTAATTTGCCTGAGCCCGGTGTTCTTACAGATAATTTCTTTCACCAAGGGCATAAACATACTACCTTCTCCAGGGGGGGTATTTTCTTGTTTATCAGTTACCCCTGATTTATTTCTGCTTAATTGGACAATGATAACATACTTTCTCAAGGTGAAATTAACATAAATACTCTGCACGGGTACTATCCTCTGTTGTTGTGATTCCTAAGACATAGGCAACAGAAAATAATAGAAAGGCTTTAGAGGCATTTTTCATGTCTTGGATTCCCTTTTCTGGATGTGCAGAAAATTGCTGTCATAAAATTTCATATGCTGCTGATTGACCAACCATTAGATACATTTTGTGAAAGTAAAATTGCAAAGGACAGAAAAAAGGGGGATTTTTTAAACACAGCCCTTAAGCTATAGTTGCATGCTAGTCAGGCAATGCAGGAACAGCTAAGAAATTGGTGAATGTGCATATCACTGGATGTTAACAGACTCAATGAGCTGGGCTTTTGCTGGCCTGTACTTGTTATAATAGATAGTAATTGTAGATAAGACCATTTTTCTGGCCTTTTTTTTTTATTGCATTTTAAAGCTAAACACTAGTGAGGCAAATAAGATCGGAGAGAGGAAGGTCAGAACAAGCTGGAGAAATAAAAAGTATTAAAATAAGAGATTGCAGAACAATTTGATAAATACTGATCTCTTAACAAGAAGCTACTGCAAATGAAAAACTCTGTTTTCCAGCCTAGGTTGATAAACTACAAGGATGAAAGCAACTGTTTCCCCTAGGAAGTCGTCATCATCGTCCTCATTATCACATAAAATATTTATTAAATTTAGATTAATTCAAAAAATGCTCATGGCAAAGATTTTAAAAAAACTTAAAAATGGAACTTTAAAAATCAGTAAAAATCTAACTGCTAGGAGGCTTAGAGGTCATATACTTATGTACATAATAGGCTAGCATTTGGGCAGTATAATGGGATTATATCATTTTATTCTCTCAGTAATAAAGTGGAAAAATCTAATCCTGAGAGTTGAAGAACAGGCATACAGTGTGGCCTCTGTGACGAGCCCAGGTCCAGCTTCTGTCTGGCTGTCATTGGGAAAATCTGGTTGTTGGCTACCGGGCTGTACTCAGCTGTTGGGGTTGACAATAAAGATGATAGCTAACATTTGTCCAGAATGTATTATGAGGAACTGAACTCAACTTTTAAGCAAGTTCTTGCAGTTTTGGACTGGATTACTTACTGAAGCACAGGCTTGCCATGCTTTTTCTAAAATATAGTACAAAATTTCCTTTTTAAAAAAAATATATATTTTTTATTTATTTATTTTAGAGAGAGAGCGCGCACACATGTGCACAAGGTGGGGAGGGGCTGAGGGGGAGGGAGAGGGACAAGCAGACTCCACACTCAGTGCAAAGCTGTCTCTGGGCTCGGGGCTCAATCGCATGACCCTGAGATCATGCATGACCTGAGCCGAAATCAAGAGTTGGAGGCTTAACCGACGGAGCCACCCAGGCGCTCCAATACAGTACTTCCTTTTACAAGATTCTGAACACACACAGTCCCTGTATTACAGAATGTGCCTCAAGCCCAGGTTTACTTCATACATACTGCTGGTGGTTTTACTGATATTGGTCATTATGTATGCTCAGCTTTCATTCCAGACTGAAGGGTCAAACCATCATCATCCAGATTGTCTTCATTTTGTATACCATTTTTGAAGAGTTGTTGCCTTTTTAATGGATTTTTGGCTTTGACTCAGAGCCTATAGACCCCAGGGTTATTCTTAGTTTATTTTTACTAACATTGGTATAGTATTTTACCATGGATAAAACCCTTACAGGATCATTAGACTCTGAAAACTCTCACTGGACTCTGATAACTCAATATATTTTCCCCTAAGTCCAGTTTGAATTATGTACCTTAAGCACTACCTTACCTTTGCTCACATTGAAGTGTATCTCCACTATTATTTGTGCACTTAAAATCACACACCTGCTTGTATTTTGGTCCTGTTTAAGCTTAGTTTTCCCCATCTGGAAGACCTTTGGGTCATGTGCAGATCTGGAGATTTCAGTGTATATAAGGTCCTGTCACTGATCTTGCAAAACCTCCTTTGCTCCCATTTCTACCTCCAGAGGGAGATACCCACCTCTAGCTATCCTTCACTTAAGTTTGAAGCACCACTATTTCCAAGTTCTGTGGAAACTTAATTTTTAAAAGCTTCATTTTGATTATTTAAAAAGAATCTAAACAAAATGATTGCCTTTGTGGTAGATTATGTGGAGAACCACCGTTTTTGGCAAGCTCAGAAGAGAAGCTTTTTGAGCTAATAAGAAAGGGAGAACTACATTTTGAAGATCCAGTCTGGGAGTCCATAAGTGATTGTGGTAAGTATAGATCTGTCATTATTTACTAAAGCAAATGTATGTAATATAAAAAACTTGGCCAATAATTCAAATACTCTCAATCTCTGTTTTCGTCATTAAATTTACTTGTAGAAATAAACACTGTTTACTTGTGGAATAGTGATCTCTTCACTGTGATTGTTGTAGTCAAAACTTCCAACAAAAACAGAAATTACATAATAAAAATTGAAGAGGAAGTTGCTGATCGTCCAGCCCAGTTTTACTGTAGATCATAAACCAGCAAATCCGGGCAATAAAACCTCACTTTAGGCCTGAAACTTTATTAATTAGCCATTTATTCTGATGATATTTATTTTATAATTGGAATCTTCCCTTCATGTCATATAGACCTAATCCTAAATAAACTGGAAAATGTATGGTATTAATTGTAGTTAAGATAAGATTTTCAGGATTTCCCCTTATTTGCAGCTAAAAGTGTTTTGAAACAGCTTATGAAAGTAGATCCTGCTCACAGAATCACAGCTAAGGAACTACTAGATAACCAGTGGATAACAGTAAGTTACAATATTACTTCTTTTTTTTCTTTTGGACATGCTACCATTGCTTTTTTTTTTTTTTTTTTAATTTGGTCTTGTAGTTTATATATAGTCCTAAAACAGCCAAGTAGTTTCATCTTCTGACAAGTTAAAAAATTATTGAGTCTTAACACATTTCTGAAATGGGTATTTTCAAACTATTAAAACTATTACCACAGTTGTTTATAAATGTTTATAGAGGCTTAAATGAACTCTTCTTTGCTCCATGCCATGACGGTATCAAGTCTGGTAGAGGAGAGCTGGGAAATGCCCCATATGAAAACTAATAATGAAACAGTCTGTTTAGACAAGTGACGTAAAGCCTGGAAGAGTCCACTTCTCTTTCAACTCTTTGGACGCAAGGAATCTTTGGGGACTTAGAAAAACCAAGATCTTCTAAGAGTGGCTGTTACCTGGCCTGAAATCTTGAGTAATTATTCATTTACATGTTGCTTCCCCCATCAGACTTATTGCCTTCAGCATAGACCCTGTATCATACCGAGCTTTGTATTCCTGTACCAGAGCATTACCTGGTCACAATAGGAACCTTGGAAGAAGCTGCTACTTCTCCATATTTATCCTCTTTTTGTTCTGTGGTAACGAGGATCCTCACTAGCTGGAAACACTGCTATCTAGTCTTCGTTGCTGGTTATCCCTAGTTTTTGTTAGTTATCATGATGGCAGAAGTAGGAGCAATTTTCGGGAAGTGTCCTTGAATGGAGGGCATATGGCATTCCTCAGGTGCATCTTCTTTCCCGGTGAATGGAATACAGATGGGATGGCTGGAGTTTGACTAGCCATATTAGACCATAAAGTGGAATCCATAAACTGAGGATGGCAGAGCAACAGGATGCAAGGAAGCAGGGCTTTTAGCTCACAGAGCCCCCGTGCCAGCCCTTGACTACCCACCTCCAGACTTTTTCATGAGCAGGAAACAAACTTCTGTCATCTTTGAGACACTGTCAGATATGTTATTGGGCCTAATACCATTAATCTATACTCAATAATTGTTGAATGAGCGAATGATTCAATAAGTGAATAGGTCTGTAGGTATCTCAGAAAATGTCCAAGAACTGAGTTTGGAGATTTCTAAAGACACCTGGGAACTATTGCTAAGCAGTATTCATCTGTGAAAATATTATTGTACATCTATTATTTGCTAGACACAGTGCAACGTACTGTTGCTGGTATGCTTACATTGTAGTAGCATTGTTGCAGAATGATGGTGGCTTGGATGGGGTGGTAGCAACAGAGTTGGAGAATAATAAATGCAGTATGTTTTTTAGATATAGTGACGGGACTTGATGGTGGCTTAGATGAGGAATGAGGATAAGGGAGGAATCAAGGATGACTTCCAGATTTTGCTGTAATAGCTGGTGGGACCATGATGGTGCCATTTACTGAGATGTGGAACACTGTGGGAAAAATAGGTTTTTTTTCCAGGGTGAGGGTGGTAGATCAAGAGTTCCATACTAGATATGCAAAGTCTGAGATGCCCATGTGGCATCCAAGTGGAAATATTAAATAGATAATCGAATATATGAGTCTGGAACTGGGGAAGTCCGAGCTGGAGATATAAATTTGGGAATCATGAGTGTATAGACGCCATGTAAAGTCATTAGGCTGCAGAGATAAGTTAGGAAGAAAAGACAGAAAGGAGAAGAGGCCCCAGCAGCCTGCCGTTGGATACTACAACATTCAGAAGAGGAGACACCAGCCATGGGGGCTGAGAAGGGATGGCCGATGTGGAGAGAAGAAAATCGGGAGAGTGGTGCCAGCAAAGTTAGGTGAGAAGAATGTTGGAGAAAGTGAGAACAGTCAGCTCCCAGTTAAATGCTGCCAAGATGTCAAGACGAGATGAAGAGTTTCCATTAGACTGGCCAACAGAGGGGTTGATGGTGACCCTGAGGGCCCAGGTAAGTTTAGATACATATCAGAAACTTATAGTGATATCACTCTTCTTTTCAACTCTCTAGTTTTTCTTTGGCAATTTCCAATCATTGTTTTGAATAATATTTTTTCCTTGAAGGACTAAAAATCCAGTTTTCACTGAAAGCTGGGTTATATCTGCCCTCTTCTGTGAATGTGTTGATCTCCAAATGATTCTGTGCAGTAAGTCTTTCTGGCCTAAAGTAATTGTGCAAATGAGCTAGCAGCTAAATCCTTGCAAAACCGTTCTGAGGAGATTTGTAGTACAGCAAAATCAAAAACTGTAAAACAGATGGTGTGCCTTAGAAATCTCTCTCTTTTCAGCAGCACATAACATTCGGGTTTGGCCATTTAATTATTTGTTTTCTAATTAGTACAACTTTATTTCTGGCTTTGGTCATTTTTTCAGAAGTCTCCATTTTTGAGCCTCTGTAACATTTGTCTCTATGTAGTCTTTGCCAAATGGATAGAGAAGTGACAGATAGCGTGTACTATATCGGACTACCCTAAGGAGTTCAGTGTATGAAGTTTAGAATACTGGCATTTTATAAACTTCTGAAAGGCAAAACTCTTTTCTTCTTAACCACTTGAAGCCTTCCTGTAATTCATATCCTCTGTTTGAAATAATCTAAAAAGAATACGTTACTTCTCTCAGTACCTGGCTGCTTTATAACCAGAGCTTATCTTTTGCAATATCTAACATATAGTGACATTTTTTCAAAGAGCTTTATTGGATAAAAAGTTTTTATGATTCAGCCTATGTATTGTGCGTTTTGAAATATGGTATATCTCTGCAAAGTGTTCTGAGAAAAATAGTCATAGCTTCTCTATGTACATTTAAGTGAATGGAACTTAAAATAAACACATTTGTCATCCTGATTTCAAAAGTCAAAGATTAGATGTAAGGAAAACCAGCCAAGAAATGACTTTCCTACAAAGGAAGAGTTTGATGATGACTCCCATGGCCAGGAGTGTGCCTGCGATCCTCTTGAGTCTGTTTTTTCCTTCCTGTCCTCTTTCCTCTCAACAGTGGCTCAGGAGTTTATTCCATCTTATTAGGCAATTACAGTTGCTTCTTGGTATTCCTTCAAGTCCCCTTATGACATATAACACCAGGAATTTGCATGTTTAACAAGTTTCCCAGGTATTTTTAATGCCTACTTATATTTAAGAATGCAACTATAAATTAAGGAAATATTTTTCTTCTATGGCTTGTCATAGTTTCCAGATTTGAGCTCTTTCGGTTTTATTTATACATTCAGTAATTCCTTTGACAGATTTTGTGTGTGTGTGTGTGTGTGTGTCTACCATGTTGTGCTAGGTAATAAATAAAATATCATTAAAGATATATAGGGTATGGTCTCTGATATAAGGAACTTATAACCTGGTAAGAGAGACAAGCTGTGTAAAAGATATGATCAATGAAGAAAATGATAAATGACATAAGAAGACCAGAGATAACAGAGGCAAGCAAGTGTAAAATCAGGAAGTTCAATCTGACTGGCAGAGAAAATGCTCGAAGGAAAGAAGTGGGAAACGAACTTTTAAAAATGGAAAGAGAATTGTGAGAGGACTTGAATCTCAGGCTAAAAAGTTGTAACTTGCAGTCATAGATGGTAGAGAACAATGTACACTCTTTGAAATGAAGGAAATTATTGTTATAGTGCATCAGTCTTGCAAGGTGGCTTATTTTAAATGGGACAGCAGTCATTTAAATGTCTATTCATTTTAACAAGTATCTTTGGATTTTAATCCATCAGGCACCATTGGGGTTCAAAGATGAATAAAACACAGTCTCCCTCCTTAAGTAATTTACCACAAAGTACAATGTACTTTTTTTTATGGTCACACTTTGTGAAGGCACTTGTCATCAAGGTGTGGCGTCTAATCTCAGAATGGTCTTTCCTAGTGTGTGAACAAGGCCCTTCTTTTTACAAGTTATTATCCAGGTTTTTGTCATTAGCTTTTGACAATTAGCCTTAACATATACACTCTACATAAGAAAATGAAACTTTTCTGATGCCTAATTGTGGGGCATTTTTTTCTGACTGTATACTTTCATCCCAAATGTGTCAAAATCTTACCTTTATTTTACTATATTTAGTTATTCTTAAATTGTGAATTATCTTATGTATATGAATATGTCGAGGTCCTATTTAATGAAGGTTTCTATAAAAATTATGTTACAAAGCAGCTCATGAACCAGGAACCTTGGAGATTTATTCACTATCCAATGATAGGTAGATAGTTAATAATTCAGTAACTATTTATTGCATAACTACTATGTGCTGCGGAGGACACAGGGATGAGTCTGGCACAGCCCCTGTGCACAGGTTGCCCACAGCCTAATAGAGGGTTCAAAATAAAAATACAGGCAGTGAATGAGTATATAATAATGTGTGTGTATATATAAACATAAATAATATGTAAAATACACTATATGTTATATGTAAGTATACAATGACATGTGTTCTATAAAGATAAAAATACATATTTTATATATACTGTGCTATATAATACTATATAATACAATACGATACAATGTACGGTATAGTGCCATATAATGTAGTAGTGATACTAGGTTTTCAAGAAGAGAGCCATCATTCCCTTTAGGGGATTATAAAAACTACTTAAAGTGAAGGTAATGTGTGACCTGGCTCTGAAAGAGCGGGTAAAAGTAGAAATTAGTGTTACAGTTGTGGTAAGAAGGATGAGGATTCTAGGTAGGAAGAACTTTACAAAGATATATAGAGAAAAAAATGTGCAATATATTCAGAGAACATGAAGTATAGTAGTAATTCTGTTTTTCTAGAACCATAGAAGACATGTAGGGAAGTAGTGGGAAATTAAGCTGTAAAGGCAGGTTAGAACTATTTTACTCTAGACCTTGACTTATCTGGAGGAGACTTTATGTTTGGCTTGTTTGACAGAGGGTTGCTACTGGAAAGCTCTGCAGGACCCTGATCACAGCTGAACCTACTTGAGTTTCTCCTTTGTCCCTCTGATCCTTATAGGGTGACTTGGGTGGACTTCGATGAGGTCTGTGGGCT